TCTCTCTCTCTCTCTCTCTCTCTCTCTCTCTCTCTCTCTCCTCTCTCTCTCTCTCTCTCCTCTCTCTCTCTCTCTCCCTCTCTCTCTCTCTCTCTCTCTCTCTCTCTCTCTCTCTCTCTCTCTCTCTCTCTCTCTCTCTTCTCTCTCTCTCTCTCTCTCTCTCTCTCTCTCTCTCTCTCTCTCTCTCTCTTTCTTTGTTTTTCTATTTTTTCTTTTTTCTTCTTTTTTCTTTCTCTTCTTTCTTATGCAGGATGTTAAACCGTTCTGGCCATTCGTGCATATGTTAAACCGTTCTGTCATTCTGTTGTATCCATTATGTGAAATGTTGACTTATTTGGCTCTTAGGTTGATCACTTACTATTGTTTGGAAGTAGAAGTGTGGAATTAAATTAATTAGAGCGATGTATGATTTATCTCTCTCTCTCTCTCTCGTCTCTCTCTCTCTCTCTCTCTCTCTCTCTCTCTCTTCTCTCTCTCTCTCTCTCTCTCTCTCTCTCTCTCTCTCTCTCTCTCTCTCTCTCTCTCTCTCTCTCTCTCTCTCTCTTCTTCTCTTCTCTCTTTCTTCTTTCTCTCTCTCTTCTCTCTCTCTCTCTCTCTCTCTCTCTCTCTCTCTCTCTCTCTCTCTCTCTCTCTGTCTGTCTGTCTGTCTCCACCTTGCTATTTCTACCTCTCCATCTCTCCACTTCTCCGTCTCTCATCCTCATCCCACCTCTTTCTCTCTCTCTCTTCTTATCCTTCTCTCCTCCTCCCCCCTTCTTCACCCTCCATCTCACCTTCCCCTTCTCAAACCAAACTTTATTTTTTCTTCTTTCTTTTTTTTTTTTTTTTTATCACATCTAACGTTTCTCCCTCCCCCCCCCACCCCCCCTAACAGCCCCACCGACAACGACTGGAAGATGACCCTCCGTTACTACCACGACCCCGAGTGCAGCCGCCCATCCTTCACCCTGGCCGCCCACGGTTCTTACGCCCGCGCCGCCCCTTCGCCCTACGCCTACGACTTCCACGTGACCCGCATGGTCCTCACGCCCGACGACGCCGACCTGGCCAACGCCCTCAACTCCTACAAGGGGAAGGAGTGCGGGCGGCCCGGGTCGTGGGAAACAGGGAAGCCTCAGGATATCACGCCCACCGGAGGTTGTCAGGCTGTGGGCGTGCGGGTTCCGGTCGTCGAGAAGGAGATCTTGCGCTCGGGCGTGGACGAGAACGGCGGCATGTGGCTGGCACTCGGGCAGACGGCCACGACGCCCCTGCAAGTCGGGGGCCTGGCACGCCCGACCAGCTGGGGACCTCAACTAATCAGGTGTCGCCATTACTCGCCGCGGGACATAGATAATAACCTCCAGCCTATGGTGGGAGCTCGCACGGCCTACTCTGCCGCCCACGATCACGCCCAGCCACTTTTCAGTATTGTCGTTTTGTGTCTATTGGTCGCGATTCGGGCACCTTGAAGGAAAAGAGTGGGAACAGGTTAATTTGAGTTACCCCTCTAAACGTTTTGGCGTCATAGAAAACGATAAGGTTTCAAGGGAAACTAAAATAAACTTAGAAGCAATCAAATTTTCCTGTAACTCGCTTTTACACAATATGAGTAAGTTACAGATTTAGAATTAAGTATTCTAGTTGTATGGTTTAGCATGTCCCCCCCTTTTCAGACGCAAAACTATCATTTTGGGTGAAGGTCTTGATAATATTAACTTATAATTCAGAGCCATTACCTTAGACACAGCAAAATAACCCACATTTCACTTTTATTTGGTATTTGGCAGTAACAAGACATACAAAGCACTTAATTTCTGCTCTCCCCCTATTATCATTTTTTTCTAACATTCCATTGACCTGTTCAAGACAACTGTAGGTTTGGTATTTACTGTCTGTGGGGGATCAGATGCTGTGTTATTACTAATACTCTTTTACCAATCAAAACAGACGATTTATGTAAGAAAACGTGTATGTTAATAAGCTTAATTGTTAGGTAATTTTATTTTCACGAGTAAATAACCTTTACCATTGATTAAAAAATGGAAAGATTTCAATGTAGTCTTTTCGAGAAAAAAATAAATAATATGAAGCATCGAAGCCGTGAAATGAAACATGGTTCATAACGAGATCTCGAATCGCGATCGCTTTCGGAATGTTTATGTTGAATGAATCTCAGATTTTAGAATCTCAGAGGAAGTATAGATACGTAATTATACTTTTATGATGGACTCTATATATAATTATTAGTTAGATTTAAATTGGCGTTCGAGCATTGCGTCGTCTCGCATTGCAACGACAAATATGTAATTCCTTGTAGATAGATAAAGGGCTTTTATTAATTGAATCAAAATGTCACCCACGAATCTTGCAGTTCAACCCCGCAATTCACACGAAACAAGACAGTTTACCGGACCACGTGCAAACTCACGTACTGCACGTGGTCATACTAAGTAGGCCTATCCCATGGTATTCGTACAGCCCTGTGAATACCCCACCCCCTCCCCACCTGGTCCTCAGA